GACAAACACGAGGAAACCAAGAAGGAAGAAAGATACATTTACAATCGCGCCAGCCACAAACGGTTATCGGGTAGCTGAAAATTCAGGAATGAAAATTCTGAAGTGAGAGTTTTGGGCAGTCTGAAAATCCTGAATGGTCATGAAGCGGTGAAAGGTCCGAAGACTATGAAAACCACCTGTTTAGGCAGGCTGCATCTTGAAGTGGTGAAGACTGTCCTGAAGTGGTCAAGTTAGAGTTTTGGGCTGTCTGAAAATCCTGAATGGTCCTAAAGTGGTGAAAGGTCCGAAGACCATGAAAACCACCCTTCACCACTTGAGGATGTAGCCTACCTAAACAGGTGGTTTTCAGGGTCTTCAGAGCTTCCAATGGTCCTGAAGTGGTGAAAGGTCCGAAGACCCTGAAAACCACCTGTTTAGGCAGGCGGCATCCTGAAGTGGTGAAGAGTGTCCTGAAGTGGTCAAGTTATTTTCCTGAATGGTCCTGAAGTAGTGAAATGTCCGAAGACCATGAAAACCACCCTTCACCGCTTGAGGATGCAGCCTCCCTAAACAGGTGGTTTTCAGGGTCTTCGGAGCTTTCACCACTTCACAACCATTCAGGATTTTCATACTTGAATGGTCTTGAAGTGGTGAATGAAAGGTCCTAAGACCCTGAAAACCACCTGTTTAGGCAGTTTGCATCCTGAAGTGGTGAAGGGTGTCCTGAAATGGTGATGAAAAATCCGACTGTTATTAACCTTCTCTCGCGCCAGCCAAAACGACAGTTGCACAAGATTAAGGGCGCGACCCAGTCAGAGCCCAGTTCCCAGCGCAGCAAGATGCGCGCAAGCGCGACAAAATTAAGCGTACCTAAATTCTTAGCCTAAGTCCTAATTGCAAAAGGAAATTCCGAAAAAGAGAAAAACAATTCTGCTAGCCAGAGGGGGCTCGACATCAGTTGAAAATTCAAAAACGATATTCACACGTGATGATCGCGCCAAAATTCCCAGTGCTCACAGCAGAACAAGAAAGAAGCTATGGTACAATTATTTCTCGCGCTCGTCATGGCGCGGCTACCCAACCGTTGGCACGGGATTTTCCCGACACCAATCCGACACTTCCAGCAGAAAACGAAAAGAAACAAGGACATTCATGCAATTTGCCCGCCCGACCCATCTTCCCACAGTTCACCCATATAACCCGTCATATTTCCCCAAGCAGCTTCGCGCAGAAAGTCGCGCGATCACAGAAAATAGCTCGTCACAACCCATTGAGTGAGATCCCTACAAGCAGCATGATTACCCGATGGAGATATACCGCATGATAGCCCTGAGCTTCTACAGCTTGGAGCCATGCATTGGGATGGGTGTGATTAGGATAGAATAGAAAGGTGGTTGAAATGCTTACCATTATCCGGGGAGCAGGAACATGTTGCCCGTGGCTGCTGGTCTTGCTTCGGCTGATCTATGATGAGAGGATAAGAGTGTGTTTTATGTTGGGAGCTGTACTTTTTTGTTTTTTAAAACACTGGGGTAGTGAGTGCTATTTCAGAAATAATGGGGCCACAGAGTTGCATAAGATTCAGTGGATACAGTGTGAATATTTGGTGAGCTTCATCTAGAAATAGGGCCTTGCCACACCACTGTAGAAACTAAAACAGTATAAGTGCATCTTCACGCAGAGAATGGCAAGATGCATCCTTTACTATGAATAAAACCTTCAGCAAACAGAAAGGAACACTATGGCCAACGGCCCTATCTCAGTTAGTACACCAACCAACTGTTGAATTATAGACCCAGGTTCCAGTCCAGATGCAGTCAGCTCAACAAAATAACATGGCCATGCGTCTCCGGCCCCACTCTTCTCCTCGACCATTTTCAGTTTGGCTATAAAACTCCTTGGGATTTCTTCCTGATCATTTCTGCAATTTTTTTTTTTTTTTTTAAAGGGTACCCAATGTGAGCTGCCCCGCTAGCGAGGCTACACTCACGAGGGGGGCCCAACCCAGGATGTTGTAGCGGTCGAATGCCTTGACCAGACAGGCCTGCCCTTAGCCCTTGTCCATTCAGGTTACCCAGAGAGCATATTGGGCACCCTACTATCTACCCCGAAGTACCGACCCTTCCCATTCCTTGCCTAGTTAATCCCATCGCGAGTCGAACCTACGGGCCTGCAACCACACTTCGATGATATACAGGCATGCTTTTTCCACCTAGCTAGACACCTAAGACTAGGACACCCCCCCAGGCACATTTTTTACCATAGGCACCCCGGACCAGTCGGGCCTCGACTAGTCCGCAGCCAAGCTGCTTCCCACCTAGCAGACTCTATGGGGGGCCCTCCCCTTCTGCTAGATGCGATGATCCCCTTTCTACCCACCTATCCCTGGTACTCAACTATTCCTCCCTCATGTCTCTGAGATCCCCCTCCTGAGGTCCGACTAAGGGCCCATCTGTCGCGCTAAGCCCAGCCCAAGGCCTCGTAGGATATTCCCTTGAAGCCCAACCCCGGGAATCGTAAGTATCAGGCACTGTCCCAGCTACAACTCCCACCACACACACAACCCCTATACCGAGGCAGACCATGGGGCACTGCCTACCCTGGGTTTGCACAGTGTTGCGATCTATCAGTCCCACTCCAGCCTACCTAATCCCGGGGACTCTAGGTAGGATCTTAAGGCACGGGAAACTTCCTGACAGTACCCAGACTGGCTTAGGGTTCTACCTTTGGAGTCTCCCAGGTACGGGCGATGGTGCGGGATCAAGTCCGCAGCGCTGTGCGGTGGTTCTGACAGTTCTGTTAGGTCCGGTGATCAAAGACTCAGACAACGGTCGCGTTCAGTCAAGAACACAGCCAACGGTCGTGTTCAGCCCAAGGTCCCGACAGTTCCGTTAGGACCAACATCCTAAATCTACACCCCCCCCCCCCAACCCAACCATGGCGCATACCCCAAAGCCCAAACCGTGACCCCGGACGACCCCCCATGGACTACAGACATCAGGCGGACCTCCCACAGTTCAGACCCCGACATACAACACCATGGGCAAATCCCCTTGGGCGGTGCGCAGGCAGTGTCTGTATAAACTTACCATGCGTCGTCCCAAGGGGTAGGGTGCGAATGGCATGGCGCTATGAAAGCGCGAAACGACAGAAAGCACGCAGGCCGCGAGTTTTGAACCCACGACCTGATACCACAATGCGCATTTCCAGACGCTGTCCTAACCACTTGGACATCATGCCATTCGCCATTTCTGCAATTTCAGTTCTCGGGCTCACTTCACTTTTTCACGGCTGCACTTTTTCGGAAACAGAATCTCCTTTTTGCAAGGCCAAAACTGAAACGACACTTTTCTGACGTTACAGAATTAACCACTGTAAACAAATGTTGAGAGGACCCGTGCCCCGTGCAATATAATCCCTCTATGCAACGAATTTATTTTATGAAATTTCATCGAATTCAACCCAGCTTCCACTGAACTAGAGCCTACACC